GGAGGGATGGTGCAGACTGGTGTGTTTTGAGGATGGAAAAGCAGAGAGGTGGCAAGGAAACCCATCACCTCAGAAGGTGTGGTCTTGTTTTAAACCAGACTGGGAGCCATGACTTTGTGGCAATTAGCACCTAATCTCTCCATGCTTGTTAATCCTCCCCATGCCTGAGATAGGGAACATACAGGTAGGGAATCGGAGTTGCAGAGAAGTGATTAATATATTAAATACATGCAAAATGCTCTAATCTTATCTGGCACAACAAGCACTTAAACACTTCCATCACTGTTGCTTGTTTTTGTGTGTGGTATCTCTACAGGCAGAGTCAGAGCAGGTTTGATACTTCAGTGTGTCTTTACACATCTGGACTTCACTTAACAACATTAGCGCTCACCATCACAGGTATGTAATTATCCCCCAAACTAAGTTTCACAAAACAAATGAAAAGTAGAAATCACTATGAAAATAGAGAAGTACTCTTATCTCCATTTAATACAGGCAGGGAGATGGGCTGGGAGGTTGGGGGGGGTTTAATGTATGTATTTTTTTCTTATTAAGCCCAAATCATAAGCATCCCTCTCCAGGTAAGTAAAGGAAGAAAACGCTATTCCAAATATTATACATGTTAATTTAAAGCAAACAAACAAACAAACAACACACAAAACAAACAAGCCCCATTGCCCAGTGTCCTCTACCTTGATGAAGTAGTTTGTTCCAGCAACCACCTGAGTTTTAAACTCCACTGCAGTGAAGACATCAAACGTTTTCCCTTCTTTTTCTTCTAGCTGAGGTTTCACCTTAAGGAAACGACAGGTTATTTAAAACTGATGGAAGAGTCAGGTACTTAGGACGTAAGGCCCACGCTATCAGTGTGCCTCAGCACCCTTCAGGTCACTGCTGCTGAATTCCCAGACACAGAGTTCCTGCTTTTCCAAGTTCTTAAATGATCAAAATGAATAATGGTAAGTTTTGTGTTAGAGCAGGAGCAGAAATCTAGAGAGGCAGAGAGGCCGAGACAGTGGTGTGATTCAGTCGCCACAGCCTGACACCAAGTCTGGAGCCTCCGACAGAGAACTCTGAGGGTATTTTAGGAGATTAATTTTGACAAATGATTTCCTCTGTTGATGTCTCTGCTTCCCTTTCTGTCCCTTATACCTAACAACAAATGTGAAGTGGTTCAGTATGTACATGCACAAGACTACAGGTCTTTTTAAAGGCAAGTTTTTAATATATGTCATTTGTACAACAAGAACAAGGGCCGTGTTCAGCATTAGCTCCCTTTTCAAATTCAAAACAAGTTAGTACAGACCCAGCATCACAAACAGAAAAACATCCCAAAATCAAGCTCTGAAAGTAAACTACCCAAGCCTAAGGTTTTACAACAATTATCTGACAGTTTTTTCAGCATGTCTGCTGGAATCTATAATGTTTTCAAACTGCAAATATTTTCCAAAAAATAAATGAACTATGAAGCCTTCTGAGTTAGCATCCCAGTTTCCAGCATGTAAAACCAGTGCTACATCACGGCTACACAGTAAAATTATTGGTCAGGGAAGCAGAAGATTCCAGGCTTTGTTTACAAGGGCAAGATGAATTAGTCTTGGAGTCTTTCCTGCAAGTGCATT